CTCTCTCTCTCATTGTGTCATGCGGATTACTGTTAATTTATTATGCTGATCTGTTCTGTACGACATCTATTGCACGTCCGTCCGTCCTGGAAGAGGGATCCCTCCTCAGTTGCTCTTCCTGAGGTTTCTACCGTTTTTTTTCCCTGTTAAAGGGGTTTTTTTGGAGAGTTTTTCCTTATCCGCTGCGAGGGTCCTAAGGACAGAGGGATGTCGTATGCTGTAAAGCCCTGTGAGGCAAATTGTGATTTGTGATATTGGGCTTTATAAATAAAATTGATTCATTCATTGATTGATAGTAACGAAGGGCTCTTCGTTACAAAAGCTTCAATGAAGTCTGGAGCTGAAATTATGCAGAACTAGTAGAACTTCAAATAGAAGTAGGTTGTGGAGGATTTGAAGATTTCTCCCATTCAGTTTTTTTCTAAAATAAAAATATGAAAAAAGTGAAAGAGCTATGTTTCCAGGCAAAAGTGTGCAGAATGGATGGCAACTTAAAGGGGTATGATGTGTAGGATTTAGGGGAATCTACTGGCAGAAATTACGTATAACATGTTTGAATATAACTGTATATTATTACCTGAAACTGAGAATTGTTGTGTTGTGTTAGCTCAGAAGGAGGCTGTCATACTGACTGATGTTTGAATATAACTGTATATTATTACCTGAAACTTAGAATTGTTGTGTTGTGTTAGCTCAGAAGGAGGCTGTCATACCAAAGAGCATGGATACCAAGAGGCGAAGCTCCGTTGAATTTCTGCCAACAGCCACTAGGGGCGCTAACGCCATTTTGGACTGTTGAGCTTGGACTGTTGTGCCCAGACAACATGCAAGATGTAAAGGAGAGAGGAGAAAAAAAGTAAAAGAAAACAGTGTAGTGCAATTAACTGCAACAACTATCGAACACACTCACACACTCCGCACCTGGCCTTCCACCATTTCCTGAAGGATCCCGACAGAGGTGTACGTCTTAAAGTGTTTTAATATCAAGTTAATATGCCAGTTTTCGTGGGAAGATATATGTATATATGTATATATAGGCCTATATATGGCCTCTTGGACCATTTATATCAGAACTGATTACTGTTTTAGCACTAAAATATATCATATTAAAATAGCTTATATATTATTATTATTATTATTATTATTATTATTATTATTGTCCCCTGACTGTACAAACTGTAAATAAATCTTTATTCCTGACTATGTGACGTCGCCATTAATGNATGGGGTGTGTTATGGAGTAATTAAGTTCATCTTCTCATAAGTGGATGTAATATGTTGAGATGCCATCTCGGCCGTTTTTCTTCGTTTTGTTTTTTTTAAAGTCTATATTTTGCTTTACAAAAACGTGAAAAAGCAGCTGTGACCAAGCTATCACGAGATGAGTAGCATTGTAAGCATAATTAATAGCGATATACTTCAGTTTGTCTGTGTGTTTTTGTATGCAAGCGGGTCTACTGCGGTCTGCTGACGGTCCAAAATGGCAGCGGTAGGATGAAACCATGGGGGAATTTGTTGCTATGGGTGTTCTATTGAGCTTCGCCTCTTGGTATCCATGCTCTTTGGCCATACGGAGGATGGGTACTTTTCCACAGAGCCTGCCATGTTGCATCATTATGTTTCTACAGTAGCCCAGAATGGACAAACCAATCCCTGGCTCTAGATAGGACCCGATGCATTTTTATGTTAACTAAAGGTTCTCCTACATGGCTGAAAAAAGGGATGAGAGGAGCAGTATTGAACAAAATATTATAATGAGTCATTAATTAATAATTATTAAAATTACCCAACTAGACTTGGAAAGAAAAGTAGCCTTTCCAGTGTGCTCTGTAACCACCCAACATATTCTCATAGAACAGTTCATATGATATCCTATGAATTAGTGCCTCACGAATGGTAAATGGTAAATGGACCTGCATTTAGCGCCTTCCTAATCGTCCGACATAACAAACAGTATGTCTATAAATAATATTCCAAAGCCATGGAGACAAGGGCACAGGACTTGTGGGAATAGTTGAGGACATGACGTATAGCGAGAACATGAACTCTAGATGCTTTGCACTCATGGAAAATACATAAATTCCTAGCTAGATTAGCTCAAAACCTTCAAACCCAAACGCTCCACCACACACACACACATACACACACACACACTTCCCGGCCAGGAACAGCTGTTACATTGTCTGTTCTACGAAATCTGGGATCTTGTGATTATCAATTAAGTTCCTATCTGGAAATTGCAACAGAAAAATTGTTCTTTGACAACTTTGATCTATTTTTTTAGTTTTGACCATCATTCCAATCAGGCACTATATGAAAATATCTTAGATACAACTGTTTTAGCCACGGTTTCATTTAAATGTGGCACAATTTTTTTCAGATTTCCAGAGAAATGGCAAAACAAAATGGTTGGTTCTTTCAAATAAACAGCAGATGCTGTTAAATCTCTTGTCAGTGCCAACTACTGTAATAGTACCAGGCAAACCTCAAAATTGTAAAAAACAAAAAACAAATGTAGAATGTAAATAGGCCCTTTATGTTTCATGTATTCATTTGAAGAGGGTTCGGTGTCCTCATCGCTTCACACAGATCTGATGTATCATGTCTACAGCCGAAGAGTTTTACTTAGTCAAATTTCACTTTTATCAAAATACCACAGCCACGCAATCTGAGGAGGCAGAGACATCAGTAGACACTGGCACAAATGTGCACGCATTCAGTTTTATAATGCAACAGATGATTAAGGACATTTTAAGTGTTCACCTTTGTTTTTCCTTCCAAATAAATGGTTTAAAGAAACTGGTTAAACAGCAGATATGTAACTGTCTGACTTCCTCTGGAACCATCTTCCTGTTTCAGTCTGGGATGCAGACACTGTCTCCACATTAAAGAGTACACTTAAGACCTTTCTCTCTGATAAAGCTTATAGTTCGGGCTGGATCAGGCTTGCCTTGGACCAGCATCTAGATAGGCTGGTATAGGCCTAGTCTGCAAGGGAACCTCCTATGATACAATGAGGCCCTCTGTCCTTCTCTCTCTCTCCATTTGCAAACATTCAGGTCCCATTAATGTATATTACTAATTTGGTTTCTTCTCTGGAGCCATTTCGTTTCCTTGTCTTGCAGATTACCTCAGATGAGAGGTGAGAGGAAATTGGAGTACCCACAGAGGACCCACGCTGACAGAGAGAGAACAGAGAGAGAACATGCAGGCTCCACACAGAAGGGCCCTGCCATCCCCCATTGTGAGGCGACAATACTAATCACTGCACCACCGTGCCACCTTATTAAATTAAATTTGAATTGAATAGAATTAGCCTATAGAATTGAGTTGAGTTGAGTTGAATTGAATTGAATTGAATTGAATTGAATTGAGTTGAACTGAACTGAACTGAATTGAATTGAATTGAATTGAATTGAATTGAATTGAATTGAACTGAACTGAACTGAACTGAACTAAATTGGATTCTCTGCACTTCTGTGCTTAGTTTGCATGTTCTCCACATATCATCGTGGGTTTTCTGTGGGTCCTCTGGCTTCCTGCCACAGTCCAAAGACATGCAAGTTAATTTGTGACTCTAAATTGCCCGTAGGTGAGGGTATTTTCTCAAATTTGGCACAAATGTTTCACTTGGACTCAACAATGAACTGATTGGGTTTTGGTGGTCAAAGGTCAAGGTCAATGTGACCTTGCATCTGTCTCATTCTCGTGAATGTGATATCTCAAGAGAATTTCTTAAAGTTTGACACAAATGTCCACTTATACTTACGAGTATTGGTTAGAATTTTGTGGTTGAAGGTCAAAGGTCAAGTTCAGTATAACCTCACAAAATATGTTTTTGGCCATAACTCAAGAATTCATATGCTAATTAAAACAAAACTTCACACAAAGGATACAATAATGAAGTGATGACAGTTTATACCCAAAAGGACAAAGGTCAGTTCACTGTGACATCATAATGGTCTGCATAAAACACTTCTCTGGTCATTATTAAACGTCATATCTCAGGAACAGAAAGGGAGACATTTGGTCAGATACTGAATTGGTGACACTAGTCTTGTATACTCACCAAACTATGCTGATTGTATGAATCTTCTGTGCTGTCGGAGAATGTGCATGAAGCATTCATGTTTTCACTGTCATGGATTTAAACTGTAAGAGAAACTTGACTGGTGCATGGAGGCACACAACCACGAGGCAGTAATAGTTTCCCCTTTAATCTGTGAGTCTATAACCCTCCTGATATGCAAACTTCCATTTTCATCCCTCTGTTGTTACAGCCAGCAGCATGAAAACAATCGACCAGTCAAATGTTATCGCAGGTCTGTGCTGACTTTTGTGTTGTAGAACAAAAGGTGTGTAAAGAGCCAGAAAATAAATGTGTGTGTGTGCTCCAGTGCATGTAGCACATAAAAGTGTGGAACAGGCACAGTGGAAACAGCCAGACAAGTATACAATGAGAAGTGTGTTTGTGTGTGTGTGTGTGTGTGTGTGTGTGTGTGTGTGTGTGTGTTTGTGTTTGTGTTTGTGTGGTTTGTGTGAGACTGGTACTTACAAGTAGCTTACAAGGGTCCAGGGTGTTTGTTCTTGTTGCTGGGGTCACAGGAGGTTCAGAATATTTCTGTCAGCGTGTAAGCATTGCCTCCTCAGGGGGACAGTCTTATTTACTGCAGCAGCAGAGAGAACAGATGAGGGGTGTTCCTGTTCCTCCATGCATCCATCTGTCAGTAGGCAGCGGCATTCTAGGTGGGACTGGAAAGACTGGGGAGGAAAGCTGAGAGGAAACGCTGGTGTTACTGGCCTTTGTGAAGAGGCACATGGGAGGCTGAGTTTGTGGTGCTGCAAACACAATGAGATGAATTTTCCTTGTAATCAATCTGTCAAGATCAACATATTTTTGGAATTAATGCAAGAAACACAGCAAGCTACTGTCCTGCTGACTTTGCACTTTACTGCAAGAAACAGAATTCAAAAGTTTCATCCAAGTTTCAGATCTATACATTTTGTAGCCTAATTTCACATTCCAAAATATTTATACAAAACAAAAGCTAGCTTGGTTCTCATCCAAATCTTAACGAAAAGGTTCAAAGTTTCAATCCATCTGTGAGATTGAAACTTTACCTAAATTTTTCTAAAACATTTTTAATTAAACTCAGATCTTTACTCTTATCACACCAGAGAGTATAGTCACCTTCACATTTCCCTGTTACAACCCATCTACATCTATTTTTTTGTAAAATATTTAGCACTTATTATATGGAACAATCAGTTCACAGGTCAGTCCCTGTCAATTTTTAGATAATCCAAGGACTGGCAATTAGGTTATGTTTAGTCCTAGCTAATTTTCTTGTGATTTACATAATTTGTTCTGTTAATTATTTGGGGTCATATTACTTTTCTTATCGGTATATGACTAAACATATTCAAAGGGTGGTCTGTGATAAGTCTTCAAGGCTTTTGACGTCCCTTTCATATTCTGTAATTATTTATATTGTTTTTGGTTAATGTTCTCTTATGAGCTATTAAAGAAAACAATCAATATCTCAAATCATCGAACTAACCAGGCCTATATTTGGGACAGCCATCTATATGGGACAGGCCTTTATTCCTTTTACACAAAACTGTTGCTCAGCAAAGATGGAAAATATGATCAGATTGTTTATTTGAACCAGTATGAATAATATTTGTATAAAAATTAGTCTTCGAATAACATCAGTTTCAACTCATTCATTTGATTTAGCCCAGGCATACCGACACACAACTGTATCCTCTTAAAACAATACTCACAATATGGATCTAAGAGTACAATCTAAACATATCTAAACAGCGCAAACTAATGTTTGCTTAAGTGGGTAGTCAACAACCTGGTTTTATACACTGCCTGGCCAAAAAAAAAGTCGCCACCTGGATTTAACTAAGCAAATAGGTACGAGCCTCCTATTGGATAATTACTGCATGGGCGATTATCTTTCAGCTGGCAACAAGTTATTTAACCCCAACTGGTGCAATGAGTTGCTTCTCATTTCCTAAACAACCATGTCGAAAGACACATCCCGTGGTCGTGGAAAAGATGTTAGTCTGTTTGAGAAGGGTCAAATCATTGGCATGCATCAAGCAGAGAAAACATCTAAGGAGATTGCAGAAACTACTAAAATTGGGTTAAGAACTGTCCAACGCATTATTAAAAACTGGAAGGATAGTGGGGACCCATCGTCTTCGAGGAAGAAATGTGGCCGGAAAAAAATCCTCAATGATCGTGATCGGCGATCACTTAAACGTTTGGTGAGATCAAATCGAAGAAAAACAACAGTAGAACTCAGGGCTATGTTTAATAGTGAAAGTAAGAGCATTTCCACACGCACAATGCGAAGGGAACTCAAGGGATTGGGACTGAACAGCTGTGTAGCCTTAAGAAAACCACTAATCAGTGAGGCTAACCGGAAAAAAAGGCTTCAATTTGCTAGGGAGCATAAAGATTGGACTCTGGAGCAATGGAAGAAGGTCATGTGGTCTGATGAGTCCAGATTTACCCTGTTCCAGAGTGATGGGCGCATCAGGGTAAGAAGAGAGGCAGATGAAGTGATGCACCCATCATGCCTAGTGCCTACTGTACAAGCCTGTGGGGGCAGTGTTATGATCTGGGGTTGCTGCAGTTGGTCAGGTCTAGGTTCAGCAACAGTATGTGCTCAAAGAATGAGGTCAGCTGACTACCTGAATATACTGAATGACCAGGTTATTCCATCAATGGATTTTTTCTTCCCTGATGGCACGGGCATATTCCAAGATGACAATGCCAGGATTCATTGGGCTCAAATTGTGAAAGACTGGTTCAGGGAGCATGAGACATCATTTTCACACATGGAGTGGCCACCACAGAGTCCAGATCTTAACCCCATTGAGAATCTTTGGGATGTGCTGGAGAAGGCTTTGCGCAGCGGTCAGACTCTACTGTCATCATTGCAAGATCTTGGTGAAAAATTAATGCAACACTGGATGGAAATAAATCTTGTGACATTGCAGAAGCTTATCGAAACAATGCCACAGCGAATGCTTGCCGTAATCAAAGCTAAAGGCGGTCCAACGAAATATTAGAGTGTATGACCTTTTTTTTGGTGGTGACTTTTTTTTTGGCCAGGCAGTGTACATCCAAAGAACTTCTATAAAAATGAACTGCTTGGCAACAAGACTAGGCATCCCATTGAGACAGGAATTTATTTGTCCGAATGTGTAGCCATACTGAGCTAGTAAAAGGGACTGGGCATTTAAGTGAAGTTTTACGGTTTATTATAATGGCACATTTGCTAGAATTCTCTTGAGTCGTTTGTTAGAAAGTTGTATCACATAATTTTACGGGACAGCAGAAAATGCTGAAAAAGCACAACATTTATATTATATCCCTTTTCAAAGTTATTACGGTGAACGTAGCAAACAGTTGCCTACATACAACTGGGACAAGCTGGGCCTGAAAAAATTAAGCCAATATAAAAGTCCCCAAAACTGCAGTTTTTGAACAGCCACTTGAGGCTGGTTCCAGAAGCACTCAATCCCCATCGACCTCCATGTTGAAGCTGCTACAAGGAACTTTTAACTGGATATGCAAAAGTCTCTCATTTCTGCTGATGTCTGTGCATGGCCTACAACAGCAAATGAGACCATCGGTGAAGATAAGCTATTTCTATATAGTGTATATCCATACCTTTAGGTAACAGTCTCTGGTCCGCCCCAGGTCGCTTCCAGGACAAAATGATTTACGGCACTCAGACGGCACACGTCATCTTACCTAGCTGCTTACATTTATAGTGACTCTTATAAATAGTCGCTATTCCTCCTCGACCCGACGTCCGCGGGGAGTTAAAATAGCAGCAATCATCGGGTAAAAGTTCTGTGATAGCACTGGACTCACCAACAGTCAGCCACGTCTCAGTCACACGGAGAAAATCCAATCCTCGGGAAGTCAGGAAATCCTTCAGGATAAACGTTTTGTTCGCTAGCGATCTAGCATTTACCAGCCCAATCCTGGCAGGAGCCAGCGGGTCCACGGCGTTAGCTGTCCGGGGAGCCACACAGAGAGGCCGCAGGTTGTGCAGATTCACCCTGCACCAGCAGGGACGAGGAGAGCAGGGGCCGTGGGGCTGGAACACCTCATCCGGGCTGACGACAGGTACCAGCCAGGCGTCGACAGGGTCCAGCGAGTGCCGAGAAATAAAGAGAAACAAACATTAGTTCGCTCCACACTCAGTCTAAGAAGCCGTGGAAGTGCTCACCAAACAGGCCTTCAGCCTTACCAGCCGACCGCTGCGTTTACCCCGGCGGCGGTGGCACTTACGCCGGAGAGGTGGAGCTGGGGCGCGGCAGAGGTGAGCTGGGATCCCCGATAGGAGCGGGGGCAAAGGTTTCCCGTCTTGTTGTTTCATTCATCCCCTAAACAGAGCCAGGTAAGCATCTTTACGACAATAGGCGCTAGAGCTCATGGGAAATGTAGGCTTCATTCTGGCAAAACACTACCACTTTTGTCCACAGGGTCGCCAAAATCAACTCAAAATGAAAGTTCCTGGCTTTAAAATGTCCAATTTTACAGTGGAAATAAACATGTTTACAACCTGGTCAAAAAAATGGTATGACTTTGTTCTGGGGAGAG